CAGATCAGCAGCAACATGATACAGATCAGCAGCAACATGAAACAGATCAGCAGCAACACGATACAGATCAGCAGCAACATTATGTGATTTTTTTTCACAGTGATTATTCTGGTTAGAGATCCATGAGTCGAACAGCCTCAGGGTAGAAGTGTGGGTTGTTAGAAAGGTTGTTAGGTTATGTTGTTGTTTAAAGTTAAAACTATTAACATTGACAAAGTTGAGAGTTTTATGTTTATTTGATGGTGATTTCAAATTTCTTTGATACAAATCAAAGGTGAACATTAATTTATTTGTACAGTTTTCTGAGCCTTTTATATTGTTTATATCGATATTGAATTATATTGTTATCGACCAAAATTAAGAAATATATGGTGATAAAAGTTTTGGCCGTATCGTCCAGCCCTAAATGACCCATGCTGGTATTTTCTATGAAATGTTAAAACACTAACGATCTAAATTTCTCTTCCTATCCAGTCGGAAGAAGAAGCAGCCGTTGTAAAGAAAACAAAAGGTATTGTAAACAGTTTTGTTCAATTGAAAAATCTAAAAACGTTAACTCTGCTCCTCTGGACATTCAAAAAAAAAAATTTTTTTTTTTTTAAATTGTAGAAACGTTTTGTCCTTTCGGATGAAAGACGAAACGTTTCTACAATTGTTTTTTTTATTTTTTGAATGTCCAGAGGGGCAGAGTTAACGCTTTTAGATTTTTCTACCTGGATTATTGAGCATGCATGAGGACATTTGAAAACTGATCACATGTAGGGTTGAGTGATGAGATCAATCCACCTCATCGTGTCCAGCAGCAGATCCTCCGACCCCGTCAGGAGTCGGTTCAGTCTGATCCGCTGTAGTTATTGTTCAGGCAACATCTGCACAATCTATTTGTTTAGTTTCTTTAATACTATCATCATCAGCGATGACAAATGAGAAAAACTATGGCGAAAACATTATTTGAATTGAAGCGTTTATTATTTAATTGTTATTTATCGTACCAATCAGCTCATTTTAATGTTGCTGGTGTTAAGAGCCAAGACAAACAACAAACAGACTTTAAAACAACTTTTTTTACACAATTAATTTTGTTATGATTTTAAGCTCAACCAAAGCATTAACTTTCGGCACAACAATTAAACGTCTATATTAAACAGATACTTAATGTGTTTAAGACATGATAGTGTAATTTATTAAGCAACAGCCAGTAGACGACTTTAACAGAAGATCTGATGAAATGTGTACGAAGAGGACTGAAGAAGGTGCAGTGGAGCTGTTTTGTCTTGGACGAGGTAAAGGAACGTCACGTGGCAGCTAGTTCACAATCAGCTGTTACCCCAGCTGCTGCAGCAAATATGTGTTTTAAAGAGCAAGTCAGCCGTCCGTCATGTTTGCTCTGCGTGTTCTCTGTTTACATTTTAAGTGCTCAGCTGTTTGTTATGCAGGAAATAAAACTTATTTTTGAGACATTTATTTTGCACAGTTACAGCTGTTTGTTAATAAAGGTGCCTGTGTGACTAATGGGAGACGAAGCTTTGACTCGTATATATTTTTGTTATTACTTTATGGAAAGAAAAAAATATTGAGATATGTATCGTATATCGCCATTCATCTTAAAAATATAGAGATATTAATTTTGGTCCATATCGCCCAGCCCTACTTGGCGCTATATAAATAAACTGAACTGAATTGAATTAATACCACCTGCACAGATATATAGCCATTTTAGACTGAAGACCAGTGAAAGACAAAAACATTGTCTAACCCTTCATAGATGTTTAGTTCCTGTTAAAACTGGATTGAATGCTGACTGAATTATTTTCCATTTTCTCCATTATAATGCTCTTTCACATCAGAAAATGCACCAGCAGAACTGAAAGAGGAGTCAAAAGAAGCAGCTGGGGAGAACAGTTCAGTGACTGAACTGCAAACAGATAACCAGAGCCACGAGGACGTAGCTGTCTCCAAAGCAAAAGAGTCCCTGAAAGCCTATTTCAAGGAGATCTTGGCACTGACAGGGTTCAGCATCAATGGAGCCAACATTAGCGCTGAGCAGCCAATCGGAGGTGCAAACGGCCAGCAGGCTCTCAATCGGACCTATCTGGAGAAAATAGACAAGAAAGAAATCCTGCAGTTCAGTGAATACCACATGAGGGAGGAGATTCAGAACAGCCTGACACTGGCCCGGTTCTTCTCCATTCTGCTGCAGGACGTGACGAGCATAGAAGGAAAGGAGCATATTCCTGTTTTCATCAGGTCGGTCACTATTGCTGGTTTCCCCCAAAAGCATCTCATTGGCTTCTTACCATGCGACTTGGATGGAGAGAGCATGTTTTACATGCTCCTCTCTGAGCTACGAAGTAAATGGGGGCTGAGGATGGAGCACTGCAGAGGACTCACTTATCTCATCACAGGTGACATGTGTCAGAAAATGAGAGATCTCACCTGCAGAATCCTGCAGGAGTTCCCACAAGTAGTTTTGTCGCCAAGCGATCCATATGCGTTCAACATTTGGATCATTCGCTGCATGCCTGTTCCCTCAATCCAGAAGGTTGCAGACACTGTAGAAGAGGTGGCCTCGTTACTCAGAAGAACCCCAGAACTGAGCATCCGACTGGAAGGAAAGATCCATATGACATACGGGCATGTGAAAGGAGAAGTTGACCGAATCAAAGGGAGTATCAGTGGGAACTGGGAACATGGTACCGATGCCTTCCAGACCATGCTAGAAATTCTTGAGCCATTTCTAACATCCATTAATGAGATAATTTCCAAAGTGAATGAAGATACTGCTGAACAGATGGCCAAGCTCAAGCCAATTTTAAAGAATTTCAATTTCATCATGACACTTGTTGTTCTGAAAAACACCCTCTGTTGTGTGAGCATACTTAACTCAAGTCTCAGGGGAATCATAAGCATCAGCAGTACCTTACAGTACACAATCTCCAATGCCTTAAAGCTGGTCAGCAAATACCAACAAGAGCTCCCAATATTTCACCGAAAATGGTTTTCAGATGCTGTTGGCCGGGCAAAAAAACTGGGAGTGGAGATCATTAAACCAGATCTGGCCCAGTCAGACACAACAGAGACACCTCTGGAGGACTTCTACAGAGAGACCTTGAGCCGGCCGATCTTACAGTATCTCGTTGCAGAGGTGAAGAGAGTGTTCAGCACAGAGATGGTGAGAATTCTCCGATGGCTCTCGTTGGTGCCATCTTACATGGCAGACCACAATTTCAGCATTCGCAGGGATAAAGTAGCAGACGCCAACTTAAATAACCTTGCACGTCCGGACACGTTCTACGAAGAGCTCGGTTGTTGGGAGGTGAAGTGGAGGCATGCAAGCAAACGCAGAATCCTGCCAACCACGGTGTTTGCTACGCTCAAGATACCAGACATCGGGTTTTACCCAAACGTGCAAAGCTTGTTAAGGGTGCTGGGCACTGTTCCATGTGTAAATGCAGAAGCCGATGTGTATGGCCAGTACCACATGGTACTGGAGCGGTGCCAGTCGTATCTGAACGAAACACCAGAGGACCAAAGACAGTGCAACATGGCATTTGTTTACGTGAACCAGGACGTGCACTTCAGTGTTGAAAAAGTGGTGGAGACGTATGTTCAGAAACATCCTGATATCCTGCAAATGCTGCAAATAGTGAGTAAACTGATTAAAATACTAAAAGTTTAATGCTTTAACTCGATGAACTAACATGTAGCTCATGGTTTTACAGAATGACGACGCAACAGAGGCGCCTTCACAAGGTGAGCCAACATGTCAATCATTAATTTCAACATTTCAACATGTCAGTTTTGGAATTTACAGTATGACTATACTAAGACATGAGCCTAAGGTTTGCAAATACATTTTCCCGTAACTTGAATTTAAAATGTACATATTTGCATCCAAAGATTTAGCCATTAGGGATGGGTAATATGTTAATTTATTTTCAACTAGAAACTGTCAGTCCAACAGACTGAAATATATTTTAAAGTGCATGTGTTTGTTTTTAGTGATCCTGCAATCTGTGTTGATTCTTTGTTTTTAACATGTAAAACCATTAAAGAAGCTGCGGCCAGATAGAATACAAGGGCTGCCAAATGGCGGCTGTGGGAGCGTGCACGGGAGGACTTAAACAAGAATTTAACAAGATTAATACTTAAAAACAATTATTTGTTTGTTCAAAATTATAGCAAAGGTGTGTCTCAGTTGAACTTTAATTAATAAATGTACTTTAATGGTCAAATTAGCTGCATTTCACTGCAGCGGTGCAGCAAAATGAAGCTGTTTTGACGGTTCCAGGCAGCGAGCAGAATGAAGGTGGGGAGACTATGGCAGGCTGATTGGGTCATTAATAGCTGGTGAAGATTCTCAGTCATCTAAATTGAAAAAAGTTCAAGGAAAAAAAAATACAGTATAAAGTATAATAAATAGTCCAGTTGTTTTTGTCTTGAACTTTTTTGAATTTGTCATTATAGCCACATTTACCTATTACATGACACAACGGTATACCGTACTCCTACTATTACTTTGCTGCCATCAAGTGGCTGAAAGTGGTACTGCTCTTTTTTTAAATTCAGAATGAATGAAAACGATCATATCTCAGCCAATAATTGGTTTATAAATATGGGGGGAAAAAATCCATAAATATGTCGCTTCAGCCTATAGGTCGCAGGGCATGTAAATTATGCAAATTCAAAATCCAAGATCGCTACCACCATATAGATATATACCACCATGGCCACCAGAGGCTCTGCCATTGTACCTAGTGATGGATAAAATTGCTCCCTCCGCTCGCCAGGGTTCTCGTCATTCTGTGCCAACTCAGACAAGAAATAAAGATTTACCTTTGTTTTTATACATTGTGTAACTTCTACCCACTTGAATATCTTGCACCAAAAACATTAAGGTTTCCTGTTCAAATCCATTCCAGACAAACACTCATCTCGAAAACTACAATCATTCACTATTCAAATCCTTTAGGACAATGGTATACTGCTTATTATATGTGGCTTTACTCGGGGTGTCTTGTAAATTTGTATCAGAGGTGCAACCAACTTGTTGAACTAAAACAGCTGCATTATTTATTGACTGACTGACTGGGTTAATTTATTCAATCATGCCAGAGTCTTTATTTTAAACGTGGAACCTTTCAAAGTAAATTATGTTTTAAATGACAGTTCCTCTTTTTAGTTTTAGTTGCACATCTTCCTGCGTTCCAGTTACCCAATCCTAATGTCAATAATTTTCATGGAATAAGTTGTAACGCAACAGTATTTGTCACTGAAATCCACACTGTATTCTTTCTTTACGATTCCACTCTTTTCAATCTCACCAAAGACTTATCCCGTTTTTATATTTCAGTGGCGGCCCATGGAAACCACACAGAAAAAGATACTGAAGAAGAGTTGCAACTCATAAATCTAGAGATGGATGCTGATAGGCTTGTTGAAATGAAATGTGCCGAGACGGACAGAGAAGCTCTTAAATCTGCTCTGCAGGCTGCAGTGGTGGCTTCTTACAACAGTCAGATCAAGTTAAAAAGTGATGCTTGTCCAGCTCAAGATGGAGACGTGGAATATGTGACCAAGTCTGAAATGAATGAAGTTCTCACTGTGTGTGAGAAGGCTGTCAGGGAGGGCATCCTCATGGAGGTGGGCAGTTCATTTTTTTCTCTGGTTATTGACCGTGTTGTAAAACTTGAGCAGAAGGACTATCTTCCACTCTTCATCAGGTTTGTGGACAGTTTTGATGTCATGCGATTCGAGTTGTTGGGGTTTATTGAGGCAAATCTTGAATGTGATGTCTTGATTGCAAGGCTTATGGAAAAAATAACCGTGGAGTGGCGTCTTGATTTAAGTAACTGCAGAGGTCAGGCTTACCTTGGCTCTGGAGATGTTTCGTACAAGCTTAAAGCATTTGCCTGCAAAGTCCAAGAGAAGTATCCTCTTGCAATAAGCACCCACTGCTCTTCTTATTCGTTCAACACGTGGTGGTCAAAGTCCATCCCAGTACCTGCAGTTAAAAGAGCTCTAGACACATTTGAAGAAGTCATGACGTTTTTTGGCAGCAGTGCTGCTCGAGAAAAACAGCTTGACCATGTGATAGCCTATGGTCTTAGAGAGAGTTATGAAAAGGTCCAAGAGTTACAAGGGAAGTTCTGCACAGTTTGGCAAGAAAAGCATGATTCTTATGAGGTATTTGTGCAGATGCTCGAGTCCCTAGTTGAATGTCTCGAGAAAATCAAAAGTCACCCACAGAGATGGAAGGCCTCTGTCTCTGAACAAGCAGGCATCCTTCTTTGCAAGGTGACTGAATTTGAGTTCATCATTGCAATGGTGGTCTTGAAGAATACAGCTTCTTTCACCAAAGAGCTAAGTGCAGGTCTTCAGAAGGACCAGTTCACTGCTGCATCCCAGCTTTGCCAGATTGATGGCATTATGGCCACTCTAAACAGAGTGAAAACCAACATGAAGTTATTTCACCAGAACTGGTTTGATGAGGCCTGGGCAATCGCCCAAAGTCTTACAGTTCAGGTTGACGGGCACGAAAACTCTGTCCTAAAGGACGGTATGACAAAGTCAGTAGCAAACTACAAAGATTGCTTGAGTGTGCCCCTCGTAGACAACCTCATCAGTACTGTGAAGGATCATTTTTCAGATGACCATAAAGAAGCTCTCAACTTCCTCTCCCTGGTTCCATGCTCAGTCACAGTGAGTTATGTGTTTGAGAGCTTGAAGTCAAAGCCTCCTCTCTATAGTAGCGATCTCCCAGATGCCGACAACTTCTTCACAGAACTGTGTTGTTGGAGAGTAACGTGGAAGACTAAAGTGGCATCTGTTACCATTCCAAGCTCCATATTTCACACTCTGCGTCTGCCACTCATGCAGTACTTTGGAAACATCAACACTCTTCTGAGAATCATGTCTGTGCTCCCCAGCACAACACTGGAGGACTGTGGTGTTGTGATGCGTCACAAGAAGTTCCAAGACTACCTGAAAAACACAAATCCCAAAGACAGGACTCCATGTTTGGCTATACTGCATGTGAGCACAGACTTCAGCAGAGACCTGGACCGTATGGTGTCACAGTGTTTGAAAGTTACCCCACAAGCCTTGGAGGGTATTTGTTTGGTATGTATTCCTATTGTTTTAATGTAGTATGTCAGAGGGTTGTGACTAGTTGGCGAATGGCTAGTGTGCGTCATGAGGCAGTGTCAAAACTTTCAATAAGAACATGGATTTTGGACATGCATGCCCAGGTCTAATCTGATAAAAGCATTTTTTAAATGGTCCAAATTTGCCTGTTTTTCATTTCTAATGCGTACTTTAATAGGGTACATCATAAACATGGGAGCAGGGGGTCAAGGTGGGTACTATGTAGGTGGCAAAATGATGTGCACAGCTCAGAATACCATTTTGAAAGTTTTGCACATGAAAATAAACCATGATTTTTAAAACTAGTTGCACAGATCACTGGTCACTTAGTCATAGGAAATTTACTGCAACAAAATCTTTGCCTGTTTTTATTTATTTGCATTTTTAAGACACTACTAGTCTCCAACAGTCGTAGCCATTGACTTTTCTAGACTCACCTTGCTCACATTCTCTTGTTGAGAATTAAAGCCAGCCATACTAAGTATTACAATGATTTGTTACCTTTTAAATTTGTTTGTTTTATTACAACGAATCATAAATGCAATAAACAAAACCCAGACACCCCCGAGTAAAGCCACATATAATAAGCAGTATACCATTGTCCTAAA